GATAGATTGATTGAATTTCATTTTTTTAATTAATTAATTATTTAATGTAACATCCAAAAGATTTACTGTATCTACTTAATTTAAGCTATTAGTGCAGGTCTGTTTGAATTTGAACCAGAGGGTCGTAGAGCACCACTGGACAGTCCTACCATTTTTGCACTTCGCAGAGTTGTGGTCTCCCTATCTTGTCATTTTTATCATTTTTCTGACCTTATTTTCATCTTCCTTTCCTGTTAGACTCCATGACTCATTACTGGGAAGCTGACTAAGGTGAGTAAGTGTCTAAGTGTATGTTTCTCAGACATCTTCATGCAGGCGACTCTGATGCGTTGCCTCTCTGTGTGACCTGCTGTAGTTTGGAGAGGTTGAGGCTATCATTAGCAGGACCTTTGGCCGTGCCCTTCACTCTGCAGCCAGCTGGTCCCTCACTCCCTCATTAGCTCTGGCCCATCTTGGCTCCACTTTACCTACTGGTCATGTTACTACCTTCCTTTTATCACAATCACCACACAAACGTTTCCCTTTAACCTCGTCTCCCCTTCTCTCCTCAACCCCCCATCCTATCTCCTCCAATCTTAATCTGTCTAATGTGTGTGTAAATAATGCTTGCGTGGTCCAGCAGATAGCTTTTGTTTTACCATCAAACAAGCCCCGACCATGGGAACCTGGTCATTAATTACCATGTGATTCATGGTTATGGCTCTGTGTCTCGTCTCGCCACTAGTCTGTCATTAAGACTTTCCCAGACTTCCCATCCTGGCCTCTCCCAGCTAACAGCTCACCCACACCAGCACGCAGCACTGCTAAATCATCACCATCACTTACACACAGCTGCGACACCTTCTCTTCCTCCAGGAAACTTGTTTCTGTGCGTATTACAATTAACACATCTTTCGAGACAAAACAAGGAAGCCGAGGTTGTTTTAGCTGCTGAATACTAGGACTCGGGAGAAAGTAATGATATGATTTGAATATAGAGAGATGCAATAAGCAGAAGCTGATTTGAGTAAAATGACTTACCTGCACTCGTGGTATAAAAGACTTTGTGACAGTTTTTAAACTGGAGATACAACAGGGTTACCATCAATGTCAAAAAAGGTGATGTGATGTAAATACGTCAGTGGATCTGGAGCATTGCATCAAATATTCTGAGCAATCATGCCTACTTTGCTTATTGTACTGTGATTTAGCCACATGCCACCATTCAATCTTCTCGCCAACTTCTCATTTGTTTGAATTACACTCAGTAATCGTTTCCCCACATAGACTGTGGTTCTGGTTTCTGAAAACCCAGTTTGAGATGCTTCGTGCCCAAAGCACTAAAGTGTGTGTATTCTCTTTTTTTCTTCTTCTTTTGTTCTGTTGACATGAATCCTTAGGCCCCCATTCAGAGGAACGTGGGGCTGTTGTTAGCCTGACAGATGATATTCTCAGCTAGAGGTTTGATAACAGATACACACTGGATGTAATAATGCCAGAATATCAAACTTTACATTGTCAATGAATAAAATCTAAAGACAGTGTGAGTGTTAAGTGAGAAATGTTAAAAACATGAAAGAGAACCTTTCATGAACGGGAAATCATGTCTGATGTAGGTATGGGAATAAGAATTCAGTGAATTTCATTTTTGATCACTTATCGTTCTCTTATGAATTCTCATTGGGCTGTCAATGACTCTGCTTTAAGAGTCACCACTATCTATCAGTTACATTACAGTAATTGGACCAGTGAGAACTAGTCCAGTATTTCTTGATTCTAGTCACTAGTCTGACATCACCATGGACGAACAAAAAGCAATCACAGAGTATACAAAAGACGCTCTGGTGTTTCATCAGTCTCCTCACTATTACTAAATTTCATGCCACTGAGAATTTCAGTGACAAAGAGTGGGCAGCAAAATGTCTTAACTTGATAAAGACCTCTGCCCAGACATGAAAGATGCCCAAAAAGCGTGTCTAGGGTGATAATATTCTCCAGTAGACACCTGGTGGAGTCTTTAAAAGACAGTTGTGGACAGAGTCACTGCCAGCTGTTGGCAAAGTCACACCATCAATCTTATTGCTAAGAATGCCTGACACAAAATTTAGAAAGAAGCCTTGATTGTGACAGCCATCGTTTTAAAGACAATAATTCCACGAAACAACTAATCAGCTGCAGATGGAAGAGGCTTTGGACTCTGCCGAGATATCCCCACTTAATCACTTCTGTCTATTGCTGAATGCATTGAATAACATTCTCGGGCTCCCTCTCGCATTCTCTATGTGCTCAAAACCTGAAAGAGGATCTTACTTGATCCCTCAGCCAAGACAGTTGCTCACGTCACTTCACTGAAGGCAGGCAAAGCCAGACTCTGACTGTAAACGCTCTGCTGCATGATCAAATAATGTTAGCATTTAAATCCTGGTGTAGAGTGTCTCACTGTTTCATTTTACACAGTTTATGAGGTCCTGCTCTCCGTGCGTGTCAGCTTGGACATTCAGTCAGTTTTTCCTTCAAATGTCTAGACTTCTTACTTCTAGCAGGTTATTATGCATTACCAAATTAACCTCACATAGACTGCAACCTTAACTAACACAAAAATAGTGTGATCGTTTTGGGCTTGCTTTGAGATATCAGAAAGTGGTTTTCCAAGCTGTTTGTGCAGCTGTATACTCAATTAGACCCAACCTTTAAGTGGGACAAGTTTTAAACAACCCTGTGTAAAGAAGCTCTTTCCTGAGGAAAAGTATGTTAGTTGTTTTAAAGTCATCCTGTTTATCACAAATAAATATTTACATTCATATGACTCTTGTGGAAAGCGCAGTGCAAAAATAGAACAGGAATACGAGGGAAAAAATGAAGACACAAACAGTGTGAAAGGGTTTTCTAAACAGAAACTCTTTAGGAAGTAAATACACTCAAAAAAATGAAACGTTGACTTTAATTAAAATTATTTTGTCAACAGGTTCCACGAAATTGAATTATGTTAGTTTAAAGCAAAAATCTTTAGTTCATCTAATTTAAAAAAAACTACTTAAGATTAACAAGACATATTTAAGACTAACTAAATCAAGTTATGTTGTATGAACAAAGATGATATATTTTCAGGTTAGATAGTTTAGATTAGTTACTTCAACACATTTCTTATTTGTGGCAGTAAAATGTTAAATTTAAGTTAGATTAATTCAAATATTATATTTTCAGCCACCTTGTGATTTATTAATTAGTTTTACATAAATCTATTTTGTCAACAGGTTCCACACAAATGAATTAAGTACATCCAACTTATTTTTTAAAATTTCTTTTATTGCCAACACATTCAGTGAGCATTTGTGTAAACCCAGTCCAAAATAAAACACAACAGCTCATTAGGGTTAGTAATTAACAGTATGTAGACAGATGCAACATCAAGACTTTAAATTAAATGTCTGTATCTACCAGAAATAGAAGAGAGAAAAAAAAAACGCATTGAAGATCACATAACACATTGATAAGATGACACTTGAGTTATGCACATGTGATGCTAGTAAGGTCTGTGAGTGTTTTTTTTCTTTTAGTGTCTAAAATGGATAGCAAAGTTGCTATTTGCAATGATTGCTTAGGGTCAGTCCAGTAACACAATGCCAATGAAGTGCTTTCCTTTAACAATGCAAAGTGAAGTGTCCACCTCAACAGCCACAATTTAAAAAAAATTTATGTAACAACAACAACAACAACAACAACAATAATAATAATAATAATAATAAATAGTCCACTGATATTAGCAATCAAAGAAAATTACATCACCATCCCAAATAAAACTTTAACAAAACATGCCAACATTATGGTCTAACAATAAAACAGCTTGTCAGCGTTCAGTTTTTTTTGCAACAGCACAGCAGTAACCATTTAACACTCGCCACTGTCAACATTTATTTTACTAGTGTTTGGGCAAAAAACTTCAGATGTAAACATTTTAACATGGAAACAATTGTTCGTCTTTAAAAGTCCACAAAATATACATTCATCCTGCATTCCCAACTTGGATGATCTGATATCCTCGTGTTGGTGTTGTTCCCAGACCATCATGAAAATGTTGTCACATTGTTGTGACGTTATTCTTTTGCGCGCCAAGCCATTCGTGCATTTATGAAATTCCAATGTTGCAAGGACAATATCAATTCTGCTTACTGTTTATTAAAGGGTTACGGTTAGGGTCAGTTGATCGGCGGACAGAGGCGGTTTCACGCAGCTTAAGTACAGTTTTTTGTTTTACGCCGGTTTTTCCCGAAGTCGCAAAAGTATGACGTCACAACATTCTGATTGGTCACTTGCAATGTTGATCCTGGAACAACATTTAGTATGATGATCTGGGAACAACACCAACACGAGGATATCAGATCAACCTCCTAACTTACCCTTATTTTTAGTATGTATTGCAATTACCTTTACAATGCACACAATGTAACACAAACTGAATATGAACATATTTCCACCTCATAACAATATGCCTTGAACGCTAATATACACACCACCCTTCAACATTTCTGGTGCAGTATCATCTCTCAATTAAATCCTTTAAATCTCAATACTTTTGATTGTCTCTTACTAGCCCCCCACAACAGTAAAATCTCTCAAATTGTAGTAGTTTACAAACTTTTCAAAATGTTCTAAATTTCTCTTAAATGTAATTTTCCCGTTATCTGTCATTTACAAATTACCATTTTATTCCCATTCAGCCTCCGAAAAACTTCTGTCCATCTGACAGAACATTCATCATCCAAATTAAAGGTTGGCTTATTCATTCAGTGTATTCTTGAGCAACTGTACCTTGGTCAAGAGTATGCTGACATACAGATGAAGGAAGAGCTTCTGAAGTACTTCAAAGAAAGCTTTCAGTCTTGAGGTTAACTGAGATTCAGTGCATATATCCCACCCATTAAGAGTGCACATGCAGAGGCCAGGTCTTCCAGGTCATGCAGGACACACTAGATGGTTATACCCACATCGGCTGGAGGAGTGCTGGCATCAGCTCTTTCCATGGTAAAGATAGCAAGGGTAATTTGTTCCAGCTCCCTCTGAACAGCTGTAGCTTAGACACAAAAACATAGAAAAATGGCATCCAGTTTTAAAAAAAGAAAGAAAAAGGGCCAAAGCTACCCTTTAATGACGTAAACACAATATTAGGAACATGCACCCCAGTGTGCCACTATTTCAGACTACAGATTCAATGATAAATATAAATAGTTTGGGTATACAAGAAGATTTCCCAAAACATTTAAACAGGTTCCATGCAAATTACAACAACAACAACATGCAACAACATTAGTTATTCAAAATTTGGTTTAATACAGATAAAAAACTAAACTAAAATTACCAACCAATTATTCTTTGAAGAGGATGCTTGGGTCTTCATTCAGGTAAAAAGGTAGTGCCCTGAGGACACACTCCCTCCCCTTTTCAATACTTTCCTTCTGTAGAGAGTGGCAGAGATACAGGAAGAGAAAACAGATATACTTTAGGATGACAGAAACTCACATTATACGCAAAATGAATGACATATCCACTGCACAGATAGACATGTACACAAGACCAACTAATCATCACATGGACATGAATAGTTAACCTGTTGGGCAGGGTTTCCACCACATTATATATGTCCATAATGGAGGTAAAGACAAACTAATACATCATCTTTTTTGCATTCAAAACATAACATAAAAACATTCACTTCTGGTTTAACCTAAATCAAGGGATCAGATTTTACATATGTTTAGGTACCGTACTTTCTGGACAATAGAGCGCACCTGTATATAAGCCGCATCCGCTCTATTTTTAAAAAATTTAAAAAAAAAAGATATACAAGCCGCACCCAGCTATAAGCCGCAGATATCTATGATGAAAAAATAGATATTTACTGCATGTACAGAACAATCTTGTAGTGCAAATGTACAAGTATGTACCTGAACAGATTCTTTCCGAACAATGCCTTTTAACACGGCAGCAACTTTGCTGATTAAAACGTAACAGAACCAAGAGAAAATAACCGCTATTTATTTACCTCCATTTTTCCTGTATTTGAAACCACATGTCACTTTAATCATCTTCGCTGAAACCCATGAAGTCGTCTTCTTCAGTGTCGGAGTTGAACAGGCTCAGAAGCGCTTCATCACATCTGTCTCCATCAGTCTCGCTCTCCGTGTCACTGTCATCCTCCGGTGAAGTTGGCTCTGAAGGTGCGCCGCTCTCTTCGCGCAGCAGTCCAGCCTTTCGGAACCCATTGGTGATGGTGGATTCTTTCACAGCACTCCACGCTGTTAGGATCCACTGACAGACATCAGAAAAGGATGCTTTTCGCATGCGGCCAGTTTTTGTGAATGACTTTTCACCGCTTGTCATCCAAGTCTCCCACTCAACCCGTAGTGCAGCTTTAAATGCCCGATTTACACTGATGTCAAGTGGCTGCAAAAACTTTGTTGTACCTCCAGGAATCACAGCTGGAATGGAGTTTGTTTTCTTGATCGCTGCTTTCACAGAATCTGTGATGTGGGCCCTCATGCTATCCAAAACAAGCAGTGCTTTTTTCCGGTGAAAAAAATCCTCCCGGGCGCTTCCCATAGCACTCCGTTAACCATTCCTTCATTAGACCTTCTATCATCCACCCTTTGGTGTTAACTTTGACCACTATGCCTTTCGGGAGTTGTTCTTTCGGCATAGTTATGCGCTTAAAAATCACCATTGGTTGAAGTTTTTGTCCGGATGCCGTGCATGCCAGAACGCAGGTGAAGTGCGTCCTCTCATGGCCTGTTGTTTTCAACAACACGGATGATGCACCTGTCTTGTTAACGGTCCTGGTCAGAGGCAGATCAAATGTTAAAGGTACTTCATCCATATTGATTATGTCGTCTGGTCCGATGGAGTTTTCTTGTATCTTTTTTTCAACGAATTTGTGGAAGTTTTCAACTTTTTCCTGATAGTCAGGGGGAGTTGCTGACAGAGAGTGGTCCGTGCCCTGACGGACAGGTTTTTACGTTTCATAAATCTGAAACACCATGACGGCCCACCTTTGAAATCTTTAATATTCATTTCGCGGGCGATTGTTTTGGCTTTCAGTCGGATCTGTACAGTGGATACACCTCGGCCACCTGCTCTCAGTGTCTTCACCCATTCCTCCAGGACATTTTCAAGTTCAGGCCACCTGCTTTTATGTCCTCTGAAAGCTTTTCTCGACTTTTGGCATTGCATGAGCTCTTCCCGCTGCCGCCTCCAACGTCTCACCATAGACTCATTGACGCTAAGCTTGCGTGCAGCAGCGCGGTTTCCCTCCTGGATAGCAAGATCGATGGCCTTCAACTTAAAACTTGCATCATACGAACTTCTTCGTGTGGTTTCCATGATGAAGGGGCGAGGATTTGAAAATAATTACCAGTTGGTAATTTGTTGTGCGTGTTCTATCTGCTAAAGAAAAAGTAGTGTATTCTTCTTTGCATTGATTTTTCATCTATCTTGTTTTTTATTCTAATTCTGGTTAGAGTCCCCCTAGTGGTGGAAGAAAAATCCACAGAATAGCCACACCTTTGTATAAGCCTCATGGCTCAAAACCTAGGGAAAAAGTAGCGGCTTATGGTCCAGAAAGTACGGTAATTTAAATTTTCCAATGTTTTGAGTACCAAACTTTGTCTTGCTTAATATAAATGTAAGTGCACTGTGCAGCTACCATACACTAGCTGTTTAAATTTGAAAATGATCTTATTAGCCATAATATTTTGCTACCAACAGAATAACGCACCTGTGTGGCTGGGGCCAAAGTTTGTCTAATTTTCTTCCCTGCAACGCCTCCTTTTTTCTTGAAGACTTTTATGAGCTGGTCAGTGTATTGGTCAAGTTGTGTAAAAAGCCTTGGAACATGTGCAGCAGTAGTAATCCTCACATATTCTGCTTCCACCTGAAAATATGTCAACAAACACAACATACTGTACTGTAAATATACATACTATATGTACACATATACAAACTAAAACTAATGTAGTAAGACCTCATTAAAGCTATAATTTTAACACAAACATTTACACAAAATGCTAATGGAGCCATTACAGCTTTTATTGTTATTTATCAAGTTCCAAAAAATATTGATCACAGCTGATCTGAAAAGAATTTCATGCCTCAGGCCCTTGAACTGCAACCTTTACCATGGATCAGATGTGGAGAAGAAATAACAGGGGCATGGGATGGGTCACAAAAGAAAACTTAACTTATAAAACAGTTTTGTTTTTAAAAGTATAACAGTTCACATACCACATACAAGCTCAGCAATACCACATACACCACATCAGTATAGGAGGGAGCAGGTAAAGGCAGGATCTGAGATTTATAAAGTAAAACAAGAAATTCATTACTTAATTTCAAGAAGCAAATTATTGTTTGAATTACAACTAAATAAAATACTACTCAGAAGAAAAGCAAGAGATTGACACTGCCATGTGCTAACTTTCTATAGAAGCAATTATCACCAGGTCTGTCGACCTCCATTGTCTGTCCACTCATATGTCTTGAATAATTTTATTAAAAAAATTAAGTGTGTACTTTCACAAACTGTAATTTATAACTACATTGATATGTATAACTCCGCTAGGAAACATGCTGTATTTACAGACCATTTTTACATAATACAGATTACTGATAGAGCAGAACAATGGTGTCACAGTGGCTTTCGCCCTTGACTTTTTGGATTTTAAATGTCACTTTATGCTATCCTTGCTATCCTATTCGATATTTCCGACTCTCGGATTACAGAAAAGGAATCCCAAGAAAGCAAATGGAAAAATAACCCCTTGAAAGAATAACCCCATGAACCCCTGTAGCTAATCCCTTAATAAAACAAAAAACAATAAAAATGTTTCTTACACAGTCCACAAAATAAGCATGTCCAGGACCCAGTAAAACTAATGTAAAACAAGCGCACGCAAACGATATAACATGTCTTGTAAGACAAACGCAAAATATAACCATGCTGGACATATAGATACTACACAACATAGTCAAAGAAAAAAAGTGGTCTTACCTCTCAAAGAAACAGTAGCTTGGCGCCAAAACAGCCTTTTTCAGTTAAATTTGAAGTCTTGCGCATGAGCAGGCACAAGCCGTGAAACCTTCTTGTTCTGCGCGGTTTCATTACAACTGTTTTTGCATTACTGCCACCTTGTGGATATACAAGGTATATCGATCCTAATTGACTTAAATGTTATGCGATCAAGTAACACATTAGTATTATGTACGTTGAATAATAGACACAATTACGTAGACTTGATTAGAAAAACATATGTTAACTTAACAAAAACATATATTTTAAGTAAAATGAAAATAAATAATTAATATACACTGAACAATCCACCTCATTCATTTTTTTGAGTGTAGGTAATTTTAGCCACCAAACCTTAAAGGTTGATTATTCCCATGCTCCATTCTGCATTCCATTGTCAAAACTAATAATAAGAAATATGAATAAGCCACATTTTGCACCATGTTATATATTATTTTATTATCAAAGACACACACACACCATATTGCTATCCCAAATACTCACTAGCATTCACTGCTGAAAGTAGCCACAAATACAGCTCCTCCTCTTTGAACGACCAGTAACTGTTCAAACTATGCTTTGAACTATTTTATAAGATTTAAGTCAGAAATCTGTGATTGATAACTAACAAGACAGGGTAAGATAATCAAAGCACTGACTGACACATGAACACATTTTTGGGTTTTGGTGTGTTGTTACACAGAACACAAATGCAGGATGCAACAATAAACAGCATTAGAAACAAAGATGCACGCATGCAGTTATGCACACATACTGCCATACACAACCTGAAAGAGCACACTTGAGAGACAACATGAGCACACAAACGCACAGACTGACGCTGTAAATTTATGCTCGCACACACTCGGAGTGTGAAGTTCTGGCTCCAGCAGGGTCCTCTGATCCTTTATGTGCTTTCTCTATTTTTAGCCAACCTCATTAAACTGGTGCTAATGATTCTTAGCCGTGTAAATGGTCTGATAAGCTAATTATTGGAGGAGAAAAACCTATTTCCATCCCACCCACTTGAAGGCCTCTCCGACTCATTGCGCCGTTAAAAGCCCGAGTGATTAACGGCAAACGGTCGGCATGTGCTGTGTGCTTTTATTGTAATGTACAGAAATGCAATGCTGGCATCCACCAAAAGGGGAAAAAACTATGAATCCTGTAAAGTTAAATATCTATTTTAAAGTGTTGGGAATTTACAGTACTGCATCCGGGGATGTGGTGTGGTTCATTGCTTGCTTCCTAATCAAAAACCTGTAGATTTTCCCTTTCCCAGTCAATAGCTCTGTGGTGGTGTTTTCTATTGTCTTTGTGAGTTTGCTTGTGCCGTGGCTTTTGCACGTTACATGATATTGTGCTCTGCTTGTTCATTGTTCAGTACTACAAGCCAGATGTGACAGGAATGTGCACCCTTATGTTGCAAAACCTCCCTGCTCAGTGGTGATGACAACACAACTACAGTTACAACACAACAGTCTTAAAGGAGAGCTATGGTGAAATTTCCTTTTAACTTGCGTGGCTTATCGAGAGTTAGATAAAGAGATTAATGCCGGCTATATATGTGTGAGTTCAACATAAGGGCGGACAGAAGGAGGCACCAAATTACAGTTGACTTCATATACAATCACGATACCTACCTCGATTCCAAGACTCAAGTGGATGAATAAAAACTGAACTGGTAAAACAGTATAAAGTCATAACATTTACCTTCCTCTTTAAACATTTTTTAAAACATTATCTATGCCATGAGGAACTAAACCAGGCAAACATCTGTCCAACCTGGTACTAGCAAGGTGGGTCTATGATCCTGCAGTTCATAGACGTTTAGTTGTCGTTCCCATCATTTTTATTGCGTCTTTCTTCTTTCCTGTGAAAACTGAATCCGATTTTCACAGAAAGGCACGCTGCGGCTGAATGACTTTTACAGACATGTTTCAATGACCTCTGTTTGTTTCCTCTTATGGTGAGAAACTGAAGTCATTTCCAAGCAAACAAGTAAAAGATAAGTGTCCACAAGCAGATGTGCAATGACTATATGAAATCATACCAAAAATAATGCAATTTATCCCAGAGGGGATCTGAATACCAAATTCTGTGCCAACCTATTGAATAGATGTTGAAATACAGTTTCCATATTTGATTACAAGTCCTGTTGGAATTGTTAACATTCTCCCCAATTTCTTTTGATACTTTGGTGTTGGATAGACATGTATAAAAGCATCGGGTCATAGAGGAACTTGTGCCGTTCCACAGTTTATTTACATTCTAAATTGAAGTCATCAGTGTTGAATGAATACAGACAGCAAAATATCCACATACTCAAAGGGAGATAATGAATACAAATCACACTCATAAAAGTTACTAAACTGACAAAAAATAGAGATATTGATATAACGCATAGTGAGTTCTGTCAGCTGAGCATATTCACATACTGTGGACAGCATCGTAGTAACCGCAGCTCAGTGCTCAGTGGGCTGTGCTGCAGTGAAGGAGGTAACCAGAGGACATGTCCAGACATGTGATCTGGCCATGCTGCAGATCAAGAATCCAGAGGAATGCAAGTTGCATGCATGTGCTGAGGGGTGTGGTGATGTAGGCAGTCGTGGTTGTAGACGGTGTAGAGGTCGTCTATATGACTATGGTGGTGGTGGTGGTGGGGGGTTATCATGTAGGTTTACAGAGGGACGCCTGGCGAGAGGACGATGATGTAGAGGAAAGGTTATGTTACACTGCTTTAAATCATGTTAGCATGTTTTGTGTTTGCACATGACATGAAGCGGTCACTACACACACACACACACACACACACACACACACACACACACACACACACAGACAGAGAGTTCTGCACAACACTTGGGGGAGTAACTGTAGACACTCAAGGCCTGCAACTGTAATAAGGTCAGCAAATGACATGTGCGTAACTGAGAGCAGAGTTGGAAGAAGCTTTTCATTTACTTAAAACACCTATAAGACGACAATGTGAAGAATGGGAAGCATTTATAGGCACTATTTTTATGGTAACTAAGCGATTGTTGCTTTAAAACAACACAAGTAGATTTTAGCAGAGAATAGCTCCTGTTGATTTTGCTTCTTGTCACATTTAGGAATATAGTTCATGGTCAACATGAGCGTGCAAAACCGAAAAAAAACCAAACCTGTACTTTGTCATACCTTTATCCTTTGAAAATACTTGTTGTTGAATCCTTTCAGGTCTTTGATTTTATATAAAGATCTCTATCTTTTATCTCTGGAATCTTTAAATAGACTTTTAACAAGGCAGATTTTTAACTTAAGGCCTTTTTTGCACATAAACTGCAGGCAGCTGAGGGAGAGTCGGGTTGGGATATTTTCTACTATTCTCCTTTCTCACATGTAGGACACGGTAGGGCTGCTCAGTTATGGCAACAATCATCACACACTTGTTGAATTTTTAATAAAAATTGTACTTTTTTTTCTTCAACTGAGACCTTGAAGTGTTTCCAAACACATCTCTTAGTTCTATGTTGTTTTTTGACTGTTAGCTACTGCAAAAGCATTGCTTGCATTTCATTTTTGACACCACTGCTAAAAGGAATGACACTAATTGTAATTGTAAAAGCATGATGCTAGCACAGCAGTACACAGACCACCTCAAGCTTGTGGATTAAAGTTGGGCTTCATGCATTGCAATATTTCTTCTCACTCACACTTTAATTTGGATTCTTCTAGTTGTTTCCACTATCCACAGCTATCCAGTGTTTCCTACATTCCTTGAAACTGCTATTTCTTGAAAGCTTTCCTTTTCCTTTCATTTATGAGAATGACCTTAGTTTGTCAGTGTCAACAACATACTACACAACATCTTGTATTCAAAGTCAGCGTTACATAAAAACATAAAAAGAGTTGCTTCCTCTGAATGTTTCATAGATAAAATACTCAATAATACATGAAGGTAAGACTGAAAACACGTTTTTCATTCCAGACATGCTGATGCTTCAGGGACAAAAAGGCTTTTTTTCCTCATGGAAACTCACGCCCTCACAGGTCTCTGGGCATAGCCCCGCCCACTGGGATGTGAAACAAGGTGGATCAGAACATAGACTGAGCAGAGCAATAGGTCTGTTGACTCTGCGACTTAGATGTTTGGTAAATCCAGGCTTTAGGCGTCAGCTACATAGGTGTGCCACACAACTGAAGTAGCCCACGGGCAGTATGGGCTTACTGACTGGCACTGCATGTGCCTACGTGCGGTGGATGTTATAGCCCCCCCCTGCCATAAGCCTGATTTCACTCTCTCAAGTTACAAGTGTTGCACGCTAAATGCTTAACCTCGAATTACTAGAATGCTTAATTTCAGTAATCCTCACTGGAATATGTCAGGAACAAACTAGCGCTGCACATTGCAATTGCTGCAAGGCTGATGATTCAAGGTGGGGTGAACAGTGTTAATACCGATAACAGCAATTTCGAAGGCGCATCCATCAATTTGCGAGTGGTTCTGCTATGATTAAATGGTCTAATAAGCTGCTTCTGCCTTTGAGTATAGAAAACAAAGTCTGCCCCGCAGTCTTGCAGAGCAATTTGTTTAAACAGGGCAACGAAACCAGCATCCACCGTTCCCATTATTAGCAGCTGCAGGGTTTAACATTTACGATACAGCTGGACATTTAGATGCTTGTTACATCTCCCAGACTTGTGTTTGTCGGTCACCCTCTGCCCTGTCTGCACCTGCTGACTGTGTTTCCCTCCGTGACGCCACTGTCGCCGGTAATCATAACCTCTCGTGAACAAGCATAAACACACATTAGGCCTGCTGCAGCTCCAGCCTGCACTTATGAGATTGAGCCTGGACGCAGATTTGCCCCCGTACCAATTCCCCACCACCCCCGCCCCTCACTGTACAGTAATTAGAGAGATCAGCTCACCACAGCATGGCTGCACCAGGCTGGAAATGCCATTAAGCTAATGTCTGTAGCACCCCCAGGTGGATGTTAATAAAATCTTTAAAAAGCCCCGACACAGGGCACAATTTCTTTTTCGTCGTGTAGTTTATTTTCATGGGAATGTCTTTCTTTGGAAGCCGTTGAGGTTAAGTGGGCAGCACTTGGCTCGCCTCATGTGGAGCTCAGAGGTCAAGAGGTTGTTGGCCTTTGGCTTACATGTCAAGT